GGTTTCTGCTCCAGGAGTTACGTGGGAAAGTTGCTCTCCAAAGGCGGAAAATATCAAACTTGTTGAACCCAAAGTTTCAATCTTCCTGTCTCAGTCTTGTATGTGCTAATTTGTCTGCGTGTGTGCAGAGTAACCTCTGCTTTACAAAGAAGGCATGAGTGCTTTGTGTGCTTTATTACTCTCGACTCTCGGTGTGACCTCCTACACACTTAATCCTGAAATCTTTTGGCAGGTGACACGTGCTACGTAAGGATGCTTACATCATCTTCGATCTGACACAATCTGTCCTCCTCGACTATGATCGAAATGCAAACCAGACTGGATTAGTCTACACAGATGTAGAAATCAGTAGTCAACTGATATCAGTCAATAGCTAATTTTGATATTTTCAAGTTATAAAAAATTCATATTAATTTATACAATGCAATACATAGAGTAGGGGGATGAACATGGGCCTTGGGAGCAAGATAACTGTGTTCTGGTCTAGAATGCATCATGATGACCTTGTGAAGTCCCTCAACCTCCAGGACCTCAATGTTCTCAGATGAAAAAAAAACACAGGCTACAGATGAAATAGTTTCTAGAGTCCCAGTCATAATTTGACATTTATTGGGATGCTACTGTTATTCTACAAAATAGAAATATTTATCTAAATAATATAATCCAGGTCATTATATATTTTGGCCTTCTGCTCTTTTGCCCTTTTATAAACCGTTGGGATAGAAAAAAAATTGAATTTGAAACTTACAGACACAGAGTCCACTATCTGTGTATTGCACTATCATGAAATGCCACAAAACTTATAGCTTGAGAGCAATAATACACATAACTAGATATTAATTAAATGATATTTCACAAACACACAAACACATATATACATACATATACAGCTGTGAGATATGTAAAAGGTATGTCTCCATAAACACCTTTTATTTATTTATTTATTTATTTATTTATTTTTTGAGACAGAGTCTCGCTTTGTTGCCCAGGCTAGAGTGAGTGCCGTGGCGTCAACCTAGCTCACAGCAACCTCAAACTCCTGGGCTCGAGTGATCCTTCTGCCTCAGCCTCCCGGGTAGCTGGGACTACAGGCATGCGCCACCATGCCCGGCTAATTTTTTTTATATATATATCAGTTGGCCAATTAATTTCTTTCTATTTATAGTAGAGACGGGGTCTCGCTCTTGCTCAGGCTGGTTTTGAACTCCTGACCTTGAGCAATCCGCCCGCCTCGGCCTCCCAAGAGCTAGGATTACAGGCGTGAGCCACAGCGCCCGGCCTTATTTATTTATTTTTTAATAAGGCTTACAATACTATACTGGCTTTCAAGTTCCTAGAACTTGGGTATTCTTTGAAGGTGCTTTTGTGGCCCTTGAGAGGGTTGGAATGACTAAGAGCCCCTGCGAACTCCCCAGCCCTTCCCTCAACAATTCAGTTTTTATCTGTTTTATTTATTTGGCTTCTATTTAATATTTTGTTTGGAAAAGAGTCCTTGGATAAATGCAGTCTGAAAATCACTGCACTACTTAATATAAAAGCTTTTGCTTAAACGCTATACTTTTAAAAAGTGCTTCCTTATTATACCTACCACTTAAAATATGTCATCTTACAAGTGGTTCCAGCAAAAACCAAAGTCCAGAAAATAATTTTTTATTTATACTCTTTTCTAATACTGTAAATGACATGCTGTATTTACATTTACAGAGTCCCTGTACAAATCATCAAATACTTTAACAAGTATACAAATATTAATATTTGATACATGAGAGCTCCTAAGTTATGGCATGATCATAACTCTGGATTGATAGGGTGCTAAATAGGAAAATCCTGTTTAGGCAGTTGTAAGAGAAGGGAAGTGTTTAATGAAACAAGTTTGATAGTCTTGTCATCATAAAACTGATAGCTATTTGGCATAATTTAATCTTTGCCAAAAAGAATTTTGAGAAAAGGAAGAATCAGTAACTTCAATTAATTCTCCTACTTCCCCAACAGCCCAATTCATTAATTCAATAAGTCTTATTCTATGAATGGTCCCTTGGTTTGCTGGTTATAACAAATTCTTTTTTTTTTTTGCACTATTATTTAAGTAATTAAGACTTGTTTTTTAATTTTTTTTGAAGGCACAGGTCCTTATTGATCTGTAAGGGTGCAAGTAAAGTCTTCCCACTTCAAATATCTTTCATTTCCTAAATTGACTCAGCATAACAAGAGTAAAAACAATATATAATCTTTGGGTTATTTCTCCTATGACTTTGAATCTATTTACCACCCAGATAGGTTCACTATGCTATGGAGAAACTTAGAGGAAATAAAGGACAAACTATTCCAGCAAAGGATTTTTTCATCTTAGTTTCCATAATAATAGATAGATTTGATTCCTTAGCAAAATGCTTTGGGGGCCACTGAGGTAAAAGACTATAAAGATGACCATTCTCGGAGCAAAGTGGAAAGGGAGGCTTCCCTGAATGTGCCACACCTGCTAGTAAATAACAGCAGGAGCGTGGCAGCTGGTGTCACCAGGAAGATCACTGCAGAGTCATGAGCAATGGAGTTATTTCTCAGCTTCTTTCAAACCTCATGGAGCTGGCGGCATGATTTGAGCCTCTTCAATTTGAGCTTGTGTGTTTCTTGGACCCCACTTTCAGTAAGTTTAGATCACTTTATGAAGCAGATTGAGAAAGATTTCCTTTACCTTTGGAAAGTGGTTCACTTTTTCATTTTGTTTTCTCCCAAAAGAAAGTCTCTGTTTTTTCTAAGTTGCAGTCTATTCAAAACGAAGATGTGAATGAAATCAGCAAGCTCATTCCTAAAGGGTCTGATCTTTCCACAGTGTATACTCCCACCTACTTTTGTTGTTGTTTTTGTTGTGGGTTTAAATTGTTTGTCTTTTGACCTTGGGAATCTGGAGTGGGCAGGTCTTCCAGAACAGGATTTTGGTATAATTGTTGGGACATCCCAAGGGTTTGGAAGAAAGCCATCTTCAGAAACATTCCTTCTATGGCTCTATGTTCCGGCCTGTGTCTCCAACACACATACAGTGTCCCAGGGTCTCAGAGTTCTCTCTGCGGAAACAGCATCACCTGGAAAACTACACTAAATTTCATCTCTGCAGCCAGGATTCAAAAGCATTTCAGTTGCTACAGAAGCAAGGAATATGCAGGTAGACAGTGCTCAGAGAAAAAAACCAAACAAACAAACAGGAATTCCTGGCTCTCTCCCTGTTACTATAATTTTAAAAGACTCTTGGAAAGAAACAACTATTTTGCTGGAGAACCTTAGAAAGCCAGCACAAAATGTGATTCCACACAAAGATAAGAAACAGAGAACAGCAAGAATTAATTGCTTTCTTTAGGATCAACTTAGACTTGTTCAGAAGGTTCCTTTTGATGACACAGTATCATATGACTTTAACCCTAAGGACGCCATTCTCAATTCGGAGACAGAGCACTGAAGCATTAGTTTATCTTTGAATATGAGCTAGCTAGGCTTCTGAAGATGGTAGGGGTGGGGGGAGGTGCTGGGGGACTACAGGTGCCATCGTTGTCCAAGTCTGTCGTCCAGAATTCGCGCTGACCCATCTCCTAATTCATGTGCTAGCCAGGAACACGTGGCTGGGACACTTTGTGTTCAGCGACTTGCATAACAAAGGCAGGTCGACACTACCTAGCTCTGGTGGCAAGCTGGCAGCACTGCTCCTGAGAGACTCTGGCATATGCCACAGAGGAGGAGAAAGTTCCACAAACAAGCCCCGGATCCCTCCACCCAGGTCTCTCTACACCTGGTTTCTCAAGAGCAGATTGCTTAGCCAACGTTAATAATCCCAGAGGAACACCAGGGAGAGAGGCTGGATTCCAACTACCTTTGCCCTAATTTATTGAGGGCTTTAAAAGTAGAAAATAAAACTTTGATCTCGACTCATCTGAAGCTTTACAATTCAGGTGTGCTACTTGCCTCGAGGGGCACCGAAGATCATTGACGTTAAAGTGACAAAAAAAAAAAAAAATCTGTGAGCTTCAGAACAGAAAAGCGTGTCCAGACCTGACCCAGCTGGTTCTCATACCGTATTAACTTGGCAGGAGCAGCACGGAAGTCCCCTGCTCTGCCCGCGTCCTTTCCTAATGGATAGGATTTCCCCTGCCTACAGGCCTTTAATCCTCCCTCCTCTCGGGCCTCCAGAGTCTAGGAAAAAAGTGACCCTTGTCAAGAAGGGGGCAGCAAGACGAGGGAGAAGGAAAAGGAGGAAAAGGAGGAAGTGAAAATGGCTCCTGAGAAATAGTTGGAGAGAAAAATGATAATAGGTCAACGGCGAAGTCAGTTTTAATTCACACACTTTTGAGACTGGGTGTTGAAAACAGCTCGCCCGGCCGAGCTGGTCCGCACGACTTTATCCAAACAGCATAGGCCGCCCGAGCCTTTTCCTGTCCTGCCGGGGAGATATTAATAGCAACCCCGCGCAGCTCTGTGAGGATCCAGGGACTTAATTTTTGTGGCAGTGCCCAACGCGGGGCTTTGTCGTCGTGGGTGTTGAATTTAGTTCTGAAACTAAGATTTCACTCTTATCGACTGGCAAGCAGTTTCGTGGTGTTTACCGCCGGACGTGGCCCTTTTAGTTCCAGGGCAAGCCGGGCCCACAAAGAAGGAGCGGTTCTCGGCCTAGCCGAAGGGGAGGTGGAAGCTTCCAGGCTTTCCCAGAGGCGGCCCTCTCGCTCTGCTCCCCAGGGAGGGCTCAGAGCGAGAATCATGACGATTTCTTCCCGCTGAATTCAGCCACGAAGCACTTTCCAGGGAAAGGAGGGGGCCGTGTTAGCTGTTCCTGCCGGCGCAGGTTCTGGGATTGGAAGTCACCTCTGTCCCTTGGCCGTCCCCAGCACCACAGACGCGGCGCGCCGGCCAGGCCCCGGCAGCCCCGGGGGGCGGGTGGGGGTGGGGCGCCGAGGAGGGGGAGGGGGGTGCGGGGAGCTCGGCCGCCCGCCCCGCCCCCTCCCCCGCGGGGAAGCGTCTAGAAGCCGGCCGCGGGCGTGTGTCCCCACGAGGGTGCGGGGGCGGAGAGAGTTGTCGCCAGTCAAGTCGCGGCTCAGAGGCACGAAGGGAGTTTGTGAGTGGCAGGAAGCCTGCGGTGGGGTCTTCTGTGGCCCGAGAGTCCTCTTCCCTTTTCCATTTCAGGGCTTGGACCTCCTCCTCCTCCGGCTCCGGGCTTTGCGTTTCTCTCTTGTGTCCTCCTTTCCGATGCTCTTTTCCGCCCTGTCATCATCCTATGTTTCCCACACGCGGGAGCGGCTGGGATCGTGTGGTCCGGGGCGGGGTGGGGGGTGGGTTTCCCCAGTTTTTAAACTAGAACATTTAACCCCAGGATTGGGATGGGTGGGTAACAAAGTTTGAGAACCCCCAGCCTTGCAGAATATGGGTCCCTTCAGACACCTGCCTTTGACCCCCTCCGAACCGGGGTCCTCACCCCCTGGGCGGCCCCTTGGGGACCAGTCACCCCGTATTTCTTCCAGAAGAGACAAATATATTTTCTCGGAGATGAAATGATTTATGTACATAATTTAAATAGTGTTTTGGAGCTCCCAGGAATGTAAAATGCAGCATGACATTAAAAAATGCATGTGTAATATACTTAAGGGAAAATGTGGAATGCACCGAATGTTTTCTTTACCTTCTTTTAAAGCGAATTTAAATCTACTTCCCTGACGAAGCGGTTTAACCATGTGCGAATGTGTAATTCTGCCTCAGTCAGGGAGGACTGTGCAGATCCGCCAGGCCGAGCCAAGAAGCTAGGTTTAGTCACCCAGGGGCTGCTCAGGGCCATAGATTTCCCCCTAAATTTAGAATAAGTTGGAAGAATAAAGTATTTACAATTTTTTTACAAATTCTGTGTCGTTTAAATATGTATTTTTTAGACAGGGAAGCATCTGTCTTAATTTCCCTCTAGTGGAGATAATTTAGGTTTTAAACAAAATTGGGTAATAATTATAATAAAATATTCTCATTAAAAGTCATTTCTTTTTTGGAGAAATTAAATGTTCTGGTTTAAAAATCCTGTTTTGCTAAAAATAAAAATATTTTTTCAAATGATTCCAAAAGCTCATTATTGCACCTTCAGTTAATTACATTTATAGAGACACACTTAAATTTTAAATTTTTATTTCATTATACGAGTACTGCTTTTAAATTGTGAAACATTTCGGGCATACAAGAAGTAAAAGCCTAAAGAGAATTTTATAATGAACGTCTATACTTCACTACCCAGTCCAAGAGAGAGAATATCACAGATATAACGCACTGCCCGTGCCTGCCCTTCCTAATTCCATTCTCCTTCCTCAGACTCCAGAGATAACCATTACCCTGCCTTGATTGTTTATCATTCCCGTGAATTAATTTTTTTTTACTACATCTATACACGTATATGCACATAAGCAACACATAGTTTTATTTTGTGTGTTTTTAATCTTTGTGTAAACAGTATCACACAGCACTTAATTTCTGCAGTTGGTAGCTACATCACTCTACATTATATTTCTGTGATATATCCACATTGATGACAGTTGCTCTGCTTCCTTCCTTTTAACTGCTGCCTAGATATCCATTGTCTAAATATCTACACTTCTGGTGATGGATGTAGGTTTCCACTTTTTCCTCTATCGTAAACAGTGTTGGCATGAACCTTCTTGTACGTGTCTCATTGTGCACATGTAAAGACGTTCATCCAGGAGTGGAAATGTTTCAGGATTTTAAGTATATAATCTGCAACTTTATTAGATGCTGCCAAATTGCTCTCCGGAGTCACCAGTTTTATATTTTCACCATTGAAACATAAGAAAATATAGATTAGATGAGGAAAAAAAAGGAATAATCGTTTCCCATCTCTCCATCTAGAGAAACCCACTTTAAACTATTTATAAAAAATCCATTGGTGGCCGGGCGCGGTGGCTCACGCCTGTAATCCTAGCACTTTGGGAGGCCGAGGCGGGCGGATTGCTCAAGGTCAGGAGTTCGAAACCAGCCTGAGCGAGACCCCGTCTCTACCAAAAATAGAAAGAAATTAATTGACCAACTAAAAATATATATACAAAAAATTAGCCGGGCATGGTGGCGCATGCCTGTAGTCCCAGCTACTCGGGAGGCTGAGGCAGGAGGATCGCTGAGCCCCGGAGATTGAGGTTGCTGTGAGCCAGGCTGACGCCACGGCACTCACTCTAGCCTGGGCAACAAAGTGAGACTCTGTCTCAAAAAAAAAAAAAAAAAAAAAAATCCATTGGTACATAAACTTTCAGGTTTGTACTTCCATGATACACATATATATGTACATATAAATACAGTATATCATATGTACACAAATACATTATATCATATGTATACATGTATACATTCATATATTATACACGTGTGTATGCTACAAATATATATGTATATGTATACACACAAATAAGTGTATTTGTGTCTGTGTGTGTATTCATACATTTATATTTAAAACTTGGGGATCCTGTACTTTTAAATTTAGCATTATGTAGTAAGCATTTCACCATGTCACTAAATATTCATTTGAAAACACAATTTTAATGGCTGCAAATTAGTTCAATGAGGGGATATTTCTTTGGTTTGTAACTATTTACCTATTAAACATCTAAACAGTAATTTCTCACTCTTATAAAAGGTGCTGTGATGAAGTTCGGTGTGTGATTTTAAACCCAAATAGCCAGTCATATGGCCCAACAAGTTACTTCACCTTTTTGAATCTCAACTTACATCATCTGCAAAATGGCACTAACTGAGGTAATAACTTTTATTGAAGGTTTGTGAGAAAGCAACGAATGCTCTGAGAACTTTACATGAATTACTTTATTTAATGCCACATCTCTATCAAGCATATGCCACTGTTATTCCCATTTTACAGATGATTAAGCTGTGATAGCGTTTCAATAAATTACCAAGATTACAATTAATAATTGACAGAGCTATGATTTGAATGTGCAGACTCTGCCCCCAGCGCCTGCCACTTGTCACGCCACTCCCTTTTTTTTTTTGAGACAGAGTCTCACTCTGTTGCCTGGGCTACAGTGCCGTGGCATCAGCCTAGCTCACAGCAACCTCCAACTCCTGGGCTCAAGAGATCTTCCTGCTTCAGCCTCCTAAGTAGCTGGGACTACAGGCATACTTCATCATGCCCGGCTAATTTTTTACATATATGTATATTATTTTTTAGTTGTCCAGCTAATTTCCTTCTATTTTTTTTTTTTAGTAGAGACAGGGTCTTGCTCTTGCTCAGGCTGGTCTCGAACTCCTGGGCTCAAAGGATCGGCCTGCCTCGGCCTCCCAGAGTGCTAGGATTACAGGCATGAGCCACAGAGCCCGGCCTTGCCACTCCCTTTTAAAGACATTTTATCACATTTATTTTCTCTCTTCTCTCCCCACCCCACCCATGTCTCTCTCCAGGTGTTTTGCCAAACCATTTTAAAATTGAATACGTCTTGATGTTTTATTCCTAAATACTTCAGATGGCCACGTTTAATAAAATTAACACTAATTTAATATCAGTGGACTAGTCTGTTATATGTGTGTGCATGTATCTGTGTGTAAGCACAGATCTCTTAGGAATAGAATAGCTGGGATATAGGGTGTGCACACCAACTTTACTAGATGATACAAATTATTTTTCAACATGCTTTACCCATTTAGACACCTCCCCTCTCACGCCAACTTGTATGAGAGTGTTTGTAGTTTTATATCCTCAACACTTGGTATTGTCAGACTACAAATTTTTGCTAATAGGGCGTGAAATGGTGTCTCTTTTAATTTGCATTTTCCTGATTATTTATGAGGTTGAACTTAAGAAACTATTCTTTTTTTCCTCTTATGTGAAATGCCTGTTCATTTCTGTTACCCATTTAAAAAAAATGGTTTGTTTGTCTTGAAGGCTCTTCTTTCTAAAATGGAAACTGGCATGACGAGTTCTTACTGTAACCTCCAGTTACTCAATGTCAGCATCACAAATAAATGGTCCATGGAGAATGAAGCTGAACACAGAGGAATGCTTTCCTAAAAGTGATTACTTGGAAATTTGGATTTCAGAGGTGGAAATGAAGCGTATAGCTTCATGTTGAAGAGCAAAATATACCAATACTTAAAACATTTCACAAGATAAGTAACAGAAATAGCAGCAGTGCTATATTTAAGTAAGAGAAATGAATGGAATTCCATGTCCTATTTCCCACCTGTCCTATTTCCAGGCATTGAGATCTAAGTCGTGAAGATGGTTGTACGAATGAACTCCAAGGGCTTCCTCTGCCTTTGTACCTGTCCTTTAGACAGTGAGTGGACTTCGGTCATTAGGCTGCACGAGTCACTCCATTCTCACAAGGACTACGGGCTGAAAATCAATAGTTGGATCGTTTAATAATGCTCCAAAGACTTGAAAAGAGCCTGTTAAGAGAGGTTTAAACCAAAATAGAGGAACTTCAGAGTGAGGTGTTCCTGTATTTGTTGTTATTTTCCTTTGACTTACAGAGAACTATTTGTACCTCGGTACGCCTGTTGCTAGAATGGACTTCAGCTCAGGCCATTAATCCAGACTTTTTAGATACGTCAGAAGATAAAATGTGTCGCTTATTCACGAGGTGGTATAACAAAATTTGAAAGAACTAAAGTATGATTAATCACTTTTCAGTATATAAATGTTAAGATTTGTAGTTGAAAGTACAAATCGCTTTATAATGATTTATAGCATTTACTGTTTCTTGTCTGAGTGTGGAAAATGGAACCATGCTTATAGATGGGGTAAAATGTATTTATTACACTGTTTCTCATTAGCTTCAAGTCTTTGATGCTGCTTCTAAGATTTCAAGTACAAGACTTGGCAAGAGAAGTTATTGTGCTTCATTGCTATTGGATCTATCCAGATAATAAGTTTCCTTTAAAAATGACTTTACACTGTGTCTTGGTAGATGTGAGTGTATAGTTTTGTCATAGTTAATAAAATTGTATAGTTAAATTATGTGCATTTTATAATACATAAATTATACCTTAATAAAAAAGAGTGTCGGGGAAAAATGACATTTCAGAATCACCCTCAGGCTGGAGTTATCAGAGATCTGCATAGTCTCATAGTCCTTCAAGTGTTTGTTCATGGGAACCTTCTGGAATCAGTGAAAGGTGTTACAGGACCAGCCCAAGATGTAATGTCTGGTGGTCTTGGTGTACGGGTAAAAATCTTTGTCATAACTTTGAGAAAAGACAGAAAAGCAGAAGCTAAAATTTTAGCTGCCATAAATTTAATAAAAGCCAGTAGCAAATTTATCCACTGACACTGTGTCCGTGGCCAGGTTGAATTGAAAGAGAAGTAATTATATCGTACTTTCTCTCAACCCTAGCTAAGATAAGGAAGGGCAACTACCTGAAAAATTGTGGGAGAGGAATGGTAGAAAGTGATCATGTTTGAAGTTTATTCAAATTCTGTCTGCTTCCAGTCCTTTGCCTTAGTGAGGAAGACAGGGAACAAGTAGATAAAAGTAGGTGAGTGGTTTACACAGAGTTTTTACATGCGATCTCCTCCTCTTCTGGCCCCCTTCTCCTCATCCTCCCTCCAGAATAATAGCAAACAGGGGTGGGTGAAGGACCCTCCTCAGTTTGAGGCTTTCAGAAGAAGGGGCTTTTGTTTGTTTAACACCATTTGCAGTTTTTTACCCAGACGTGTGCAGATCAACAAATTTGAGAGCCAGTGTACCATCTGCCTTCAGAAAGGGGTTTTTATTAAATTAGTTAAATTATTATTCGTAAATATTTTAAGGAAACAAGACTCTTCTAAAATATATACACTAAACTCTGTCACATGTTAAATAAATCGTAGAGTTCCATAATCCTTCCTTCACTCAATTTTTTTTGGCAATTAAGTCTATTTTCTCTCCCAGAAGGTCAAAGCCAATACCAGTAACTGAAGACAAAACTGTTGTGAAATCATCCTTCCTAGGTCTTATTTTGTACTTACTCATGCTTTATTCTTTTTCTCTGTGCTTTTGAATTTGTTGAGGGGCAGTTTTCTTGAATTGCCTGTTTGTGTAGAATTACTCTTGTTGGATTGACAGCTCATCATTTTCCTTCCTTCCTTCTTTCCTTTCTTCCTTCTTTCCTTCCTTCCCTCCTTTCCTCCTTCCTACCTTCCTCATTATGAAGGTACCTGAAATACCTTTGTACCTGTTTTCAATTCCAAACTCCTCCTTTCCCCTGCAGAGGTAGCCACTTTGCTGAAATTGGCAACTACCCATTCTCATCCATGTTTTTATATTTTTCTTCATGTATCTGTCCATTAACAATGTTTTCTATTAACTCATATTTTGAAATATACATATATTCATGTAATGTTTGCATGCATTGCTCAACATTGTATTTTTAGGCTTTCTATTTAGACTTAGTTAGAATTGATTTAGATTTTGTGCTTCTAGGTATTTTTCCAGCCCCCTCATTCCTGCCTTTCATTGGATTGTCAATGTCTTGTTCTTTTTTCTTTTAATTTCCTTCTTTTCTTTTGGTTTAGGAATTATATATTATAATTTTATTCCTTTAATATTTATTTTTAAAAATTCTTAAAGAATGTAATGTTAATTGATATCTCGATTGTCTTCTTGACTAATGTAGGTCCTGAGGAAGCTTCAGCTTAGGTTTTCCTTTGCAATCTTCCATGTCATTGTTGCCTGGTGTCTTGGTGTTACCTTATTTTTAAAGTCCTCTCAAGTTAGTTATCAGTATTTATTATTCACGGTAAATTGTTACTTAATTTTGACCATATATTTACAAATATCTTTATTTGCTCTAGGGTTTTGCCCTCCACTTTTTCCTTCTGAAGTAAACGCTTTAGTAGTTCTTTTAGAAAGGGTTGTTGAGTGGTAAACTCTTGAGATTGTTGGTTTGAAATGTGTTTGTTTCACACTCAGTCTTGAGTGAAAATTTATTTAATATAATAGCTGGGTATAGATGAGCATGATCTAAGATGAGAATTATCTTCGCTTAGGATGGTGAGGATATGCCATTCATTTCTCACAAACATCTATTGTGACTGATGACAAATTTGATGGTGCTCTAATTGGATGTTTTTTGCTTTTAGGAGATTTGCTTTTGTCCTTTGGTTGCTTTTAAGATACTTCTTTTGTTGACATTCTGAAGTTTCACCATAGTGTAACAAACTGAGAAATTTTAATTTTTTATTTTTATACCACTAGGGCATTTTTATGCTTCAGAAACCTGAAGACTCATTTGTTTTTTCTTTAGTTCTGCAAAATTCTCTGCTGTTATTTTCTTAAATATTGTCTCCTTCCTCCTTTCTTCCCCTCCACCCCTTCTCTGTTCTTTGTTCTGTTTGGAATATCCACTTGATATATATTGAACCTTCTCGATCTGTTTTCCAAGGCTCTTAACCATGCTTTCTTAGTTTCTATCCCTGTCCTGCATTCTGAGCGATTTCTTCAAATCTATCTTCTGTTTTATGCTGGTTTATGGATTCTTTCTTCACTTTTGTCTTATCTATTTGTTACTCTGTTCATTGAGTTTTTAACTTCAATGACTATGTTTTTCATCTATAGAGACTCAATTTTATTCCTTTTCAAAGTTGTTTGTTCTGTTTTTATATTGTCTTTTCCTTTCGTTATGGTTTATATGCCTTTGTTTATATCTTTAGTTATGTTATAGTTATTTCATAGTCTCTTTCAGAGTGTTCTTTTATATGCAGCTCTCTGAGGGCTGATTCTTCCATTTGCTGTATATGTTGACTCCACCTCATGGTAATTTATTTCTTCATGAACGTTGTAATTTTTTACTGTGAACTTACCTTTATGTTTTTCCTTCCTAGAGGATATGAAAGCATTTCTGTGGAGTAAGTGTACATTTTTACTGCTGGGGCACTAGAAGGTTCAAATGTCCTGGCTTGATTTTTAATTTGATTTAATTTTTCAACTTCAGATTCCTAAATCAAGCAGATAATATAATTCAGACCCCATCACTACCTATCCCAGGTCTGGACTTTCCATTTCTCAGGCACATTTTTCTCCCACCAAATTCCCAGACATACAATACATCATGCAGGGATGCAACCAAACCTTACTGTCATGGCCTGACTTGGGATTTATTTTTCTAACACAAAAAGAAGGTTGGAAGCTGGCAGAGCAGGGGAGAGATACTGTGACCTGTATCCTTTCCCTCAAACTCCTTGTCTTCCTTCCCCTCCATCCTTAAGGGGTGGCTTTTGTACTTCTGGTTGCTTCATGGTGGCCATTTGGCTCTTCTGTGTCTAGCCTCACAGACACAGTCTGGGTAGAAAGAAGGGAGAAGGAAGCAACAAGGAGGAAGGAATAGTCCCTATGTTAGGAAAACCAAACTTACCCAGAAACACCTAGCCAACCTCTGCTTAGTGCTGATTGGCCAGAGCTGTATCACATGGTCACCCCCAGATGCACGGGAGGTGGGCAGCACAGCTTGTGCTTCATACCTGCCTTTGATGTTTCTCTTCATTTATGGCACTGGGAGATTTCCTTCCCCCTCCTCTCCAACTTGGCTGCTAACACAAATTATTGCTGGTTTTATAGAATGTAGGATTTCTGTGCATTTGCTTAGTCTGTCATGTTGCTTAAGGACTCATTTATTTGCTCATAAGCTATACGCTTCATTCATTCATTCACTGACCAGATATGGAGTACCGATTTTGTGCCAGGCCCCGTGCTAGGGTCTGAGGATACAGTGGTGAGCAGAGTAGACTTTAGTGTGGCTCCTAAAACTGTAACCATTTTCCCCCTCTATGTCTATTTAGAAGTTCAAAGTTAGCACAGACTCTGCTCTGTTTCTCCAGCCTCAAAGATCCTCCCCCAGAGAAATATTGCACTTGGTTTAGAAGACAATTCTGAGACCTTTAGCTGGGGACACAATGCTCAAAATATGTAGATGAGGGAGGGGACAGACCGGCTCAGCTATTCCCTGGTGTTTTAGGAGTAACCTTGATTATTTGCCCCACTGTCCACTTGAGCCCCCTACACCTGCTGAACTGAGGGTCTTCCGTCTCCACCGCGGCCCTTGCCTGGGCTTCTTTCAGTTGTGGTTTCCTCTGGTTTATCTATCAATGGGATCTCATCTGCTTTCTTGTCTCTCATAAATTTTTCAAATTCTCTAATCAGCTGTTGGCACCCTTTCTTGTGGACCTTTCTTGTAGACCATCATTTCAATGGGATTTTGGGAAGTAGGCTAAGTAAATGTTTGTATGCAATTTGCAGCCTTGAACCAGAAGCGCCAGCTATGTGTCATACATCCTATTTGCTCAATGCTGTGCTTTGAACTAAGAATGACACAAGCGAATACAGTATAAGACACAGTCCTTAGTACCAGTGGTGTGCTGCAGCCAGCTGCACCAACTCACAGGAGCTGACTGTTAAAATTGCAGGAATTTTGAGTTGATTGACTTCTCTTTGATATCCTGAAATTGACCGAGGGGGAAGTATTTATACCCCTGAAATCAGCAAACACCGAGAATCAGCACCCTCCTCTCCTTGAGAGGTGGTTGTTAAACATTTATCAACACACCATTAGTCTTTACTCTTGGGTAACTGGTAGCATAGCTATAGAGGTAAGACACACACTGAAGGAAAACTAAAAGTGCAAGTGAGCTAGCCATCAAGTCCAAAGCAGAATAGAATGGACACCCAATTGCTGTAACATTCAGACAGCAGAAATCAATGTCGACTAGTTGAGGAAGTTTGGCAAAGTGGCAACTGTGCAAATAGAGGGATCTTACCCTTGGCAAGGTAGAGGGTGAGCTCTGAAGCCAAAGTTTAAATTCCAGCATTTTCACTTGCCATTGAGTAGCCTGACTAAATCTCTCTCGTAAGTATAATGATAGCCAACATTTATTGAGTCCTTATGATGGCAGGCACTGTTCTAGACGCTTTACATAAATTAACTTAATCTCATCATCTGCAAAATGTTGCTTACCTCAAAGGTCTATTCTGAGTATTAAATGAGATAATTCATGTAAAAAGCATGCATAGCAAAATCTCCATAAAATTCATTTCTTACTGGCAATTTTCTTAGAGAAGGTAAGCAATTTCCACATTCAGATTTTTCCTACTGGGCCTGGAAAGATGGGTGAGATTTGGTTAGGCAGAGGGACCAGCAGAGGACATTTTAGACAAAGGGGGGGGCAGGTACCAAAGGAGGTACCTGGAGGTACCTCCAGGAGGGAAGGGCAACAAGGGACTGGTTTGATCTGCCCAAGGGAAGCAGAAGGTCTGCTCTGGGGAGTAGTGAAGACATTCAAATGAGTCAAATGGAGA